CAAATATGGCAAAGTTTTACGTCTGTGGGTTGGTGACCGATTGTGTTCTGTTCATACGCGATGCCAAATATTTTCAAAAGTCAACAAGTGATTACCAATAACAGCCTCTATACTTTATTGAGTGGTTGGTTGGGCCAGGGCATATTGCTGAGTTCCGGACCCAATTGGTTTTCACCCAGAAAGATTATTACACCGATTTTCCACTTTAAAATTTTGGAGGAATTTGTGGAGATTTTTGATCATGCTATGGTCAAGAATTTGATGAAACAAGCTGATGGTAAAACTGTGATCCCTGTGTTCTCTAATGTATATTCGAAAGCATTGGATATTATTACGGAAACGGCAATGTGTGTCAAGATTAATGCTTAAGAACATACCGAATATCCCTATGCCAAGGCGGTGAAGTAAGTATCCGCTTGTAATATTTCTCTATTTAAAAAATATTATTGGGCTTTTAGAATTAGAAGGCCGTTGATAGTTAATTTTCATAGGTCTTCTATTCACGGAAGACATTCTATAGAAGTCTCCCAGGGATAAATAATCTACAAGTGCTAAAAAAGGTCTCGTATAGATAAAATATCTTGTAGAGGTCTTCTATGTAAAGAATATTTTCTACAAGTCTTCTATAAATAGAAGTCCCTCTACAGTCATCCATAGATAAATATTTTATAGTAGTCTTCTATAAAATTAAGTTATTCTGCTGACCTTCAATAAAAGAAGCCCTTCTATAGGTAGTAATTCTTCTCAAGATCTACTGCATTTGAAAAAAATCTTGTAGGTATTCTATGAATAATAGATCTCCTACAAAAACCAAACTTTATATGGGGTTTCTGTAAATTTAAGTCTTTATATAGGTCTTCTGGAGATAAAAGTCCTAAAGACTTCATTTCACAGACAGAGGATATTCTATAGTTCTGCTATCAATGGAAAGCTAATTACACCAAAAATTAATCATTTATCTATGCATTAAAATTAGAAAGGATAATTTGTAGATATTTTTATTAAATTTGCGGATTTCTTCAGTTCGGTGACCTATATTGAAATTTGATGAAGAATATTTTTCCCCTTGATACTAACACTATAGAAGAACCTTGACCCACAATAGGTTCTTCTATAGTGGAGAAACTATAGAAGAACCTTGACCCACAATAGGTTCTTCTATAGTGTTGGTATCAATTTAAAGCCTCCAACTAAAAGCCGCCAAAAACATCCTTTATACAGGGTTGCCCATATTCGACGGACCCATGTTTTTTTTTTAATAAAAAAAAATAAAAATTTGGCGGTTGGCAATGTTAATCATTTAATTTGTTCCAAGTAGATTTGTTTACATCAATTTTTGAATATGATATCTCTTAAATGGCCGCCTCTGGCGTTGATGACGTATTGTGCCCTTTTTGCTGCATTTTCCATCGTTTTTGCCAACATTTCGGCCGGAATAGCGGCTATTTCTTCACGAATGTTGTCCTTGATCTCTTCTACGGTCCTTGGCTTGTTAACGTAAACCTTTAACTTCAAATATCCCCACAAGAAAAAGTCAGGCAAATCGGGCGAACGCGGTGGCCAGTCCAAATCACCACTTTTGGACATCAAAACTCGAAAACAAATTCTTCAGAAAATCGATTATTATGCGACTTGTGTGCGGTTGAGCGCCGTCTTGTTGAAACCAGAACTGCCTCATACGCTTTCGACGAATAATTGGCATCACAAAATTGCAATTGCATCACAAAATTACAAATGCAAATTAATGCGAATAATCCGTTGTAAAGTGGACCGAGCCATGCCCAACTGCTGAGAACGGCGTTTTTGGGATGTTCTTGGGGACCTCTCAACACTGGCTCGTACGGCAGCGATATTCTCGGCCGATCGCCTTGGTCGACTTTTATATGGCTTCTTCGGATTAGAAAGAGCCTTACCAGTCGAAAATTTTTCGTATAAACGCTTAATGGTGTTCTTGAGTTGAGTTTTCACAATTGACTTCTTCTGTTGAATGTAAATTTCAACTATTTCAGAGCGCTCGCGTGGCGGGTATATTTTCATGGTAAAAATCTTCTTGGACTGACGCTTCAAACGCGGTATGTCATTAAGCGATGTGACATCTCTGTCAAAAGTTATGGCGTCGCCAGATGGGTCCGTCGAATATGGGCAACCCTGTATGGGACTTTTATATATACTTCCAAATTCATACAGCTATTTTGGATGTGTGTATTTTATATATCGTTTTGTGTTGATTGGAGACTAATGGTGAAATAATGTAGAATATTTATTTCATTAGCGCCACTGTACTAAAAGCATGTTATCTGCAAATTATCGACCACTTTTGAAATTAACAAAAATTAGCCAAAATTTATATATTTTGTGTTTGAAATTATGATGTTTTTTTTATTGGCATATATTATAGCTACAGATTTCCCGCATTCGAAAATCTGTAGTGAAATTTGCTGTAGAATATTATTCTCTTTAACACCCAAACCCCACAAGGACTGTTTGTGGGCGAAACTGGCCTACAATTAAAAACATCTAAAAATAACCCAAAAAATCAATGACTATTTTTGTATGTCCACTATGATATAGATATTTTGTGTGTAAATATTACACCTACCGATTTCGGTTGTTCGGTGACCTATAGTGAAATTTAATGTAGAATATTTTTCCCCTTAACACCAAACCCCCGAAGTGGACTTATAGTGGACCAAATTGACCCACAATTAAAAATGTCCAAAAATAACCCAAAATCAATGAGTTTTATTTTTTGTATATCTTTTTAATATCGATATTTTGTGCATATGTATTATACCCATCGATTTATGGTGTTCGGTGACTTATAGCGAAATTTAATGGAGAATATTTCTTCCATTAACATCACTCTCCTGAAATGAAGCTAACTAAAAAATATCGACCAATTTTTAAATGAACAAAAATGTCCTAAAATTTGTTTTTATTTTATATACATAATTCTTTTTATATACATAATAATTTATAATGTATATATATATATTACAGCTACCGAATTCTCGTATTCGGTAGCCTATAGTAAAATTTGCTGTAGATTATTTTTCTCCTTTACATCAACCCTCTAAGTGGACTTATTGTTGGCCAAATTGGCCTCGAATTAAAAATTTTCAAAAAAAATTACTCAACATTAAATGACTATCTATATATCTCCAAATTGCTATTGATATTTTGTGTATATATACTATACCTACAGATTTCTACTGTTCGGTAACCTATAGTGAAATTTTATGAAGCATATTTCTTACCTTAATACCAAATTCCTAAATGGACTTATTATCCATCAAATTGGCCCACAATTAAAAATGTCAATAAATAAGCCACAAAAGTTTGTATGTCCGCATTAAGGGGACCCCCCCCATTCTCGGGGTCAAAATTTTTTTTGATTTAATTCGATTCTACACTAATTCAAGAATGTCTCTACAAAATTTCAAGTGAAAATCTCAAGAACTCTTGAAGATATAGCCGATTTATTGTGTCAGCATCAAGTTTAAACGCGTTTTTCTCTTTTGCGAATGGCGGGCACGATAACTCAAAAACTAATAATCCAATCGGTTTCAAATTTTGACACGTTTCTCTGGGAGTGTGTAGCTCTCGTATGAACTAGGATAAAGCCAATCGGTGAAGATCTTCCTTATTTTTTAACTTGGTTTTTTGTAAAAAATCGGCTATTTTCCAAAAATATTTTTTCAAAGGTCCGCCATTTTGTTAATTGTTGTGCGAAGTAAATAATCCTAGTTCATACGAGAGCCAGACATGTCCTCTTTCTAGCACCGTTGGAATTTTCGGATTCCGATGTTCCAGTGAGGAGTTATCATGCCCGCCATCGAAAATATGGACTTTACTTTGAACACAAAAAACAACAACAAAACAACAACAACAAATTTTGGTAAATTATTTTTCTTCCTTTTTAAATCTTCAAATATATATGTGCCAAGTTACAAACCTTAACAACCATTGGTATTCATTTACCAGCCCATTTAAAATCTTAAAAATAAAGAATCGAGAATGGGGGGGGTTCCCTTAAGATCGATATTTTGGGCATATATATTGTACATACCGATTTCTATTGTTCGGTGGTATATAGTGAAATTTATTGGAGAATATTTTTTCCTTTGGCACCACTCTCCCAAAATGAGGTTGTCTTCAAAATATCGACCAATTCCTTAATAAATAAAAAATTTCCAAAATATATATTTTTAAAAACGAAATTATAACAATATTTTATATATATATTACAGCTAAAGCTTTCTCGTATTCATAGACCTATTGTGAAATTTTCCGTAGAATATTTTCCCCCCTAACACCAACTACCTACAAGGACTTTTAGGGGGCCAAATTGGCCTATAATTAAAAACGTCCAAAAATAAATGGCTATTTTCATATATCTAAATTGATATAGGTATTTTATGTATATATATTACACCCATCGATTTCTGTTAATCGGCGACCTATAGTGAATTTTAATATAGAATATTTCCCCTCCTTAAAATCAACACCCTACATGGACATATTGTGGTCAAAATTATCCTGTCTATAGACAGGATAGCTTTTATGGGAATTCTATATATGGAAACCCTACTATAGGTCTTCTATGGATATCAGTATTTAAAGGTGTTGTACAGAGAATAATAACGCTACATTCTCTGGAGGCTCTCAAACACAACAATAATCTAACAAATAAAAAGCAATTGCTGGATCCAACCCAGATTGGTTAGCGAATATTCTCTGCAAAACACTGTTATCAACAAAACTATATCGAAACCTGGTATCAGATGTAATGCGAAGAGAATTACCCACCAAACAAAAAGAGTACACTCTTCAGATAACAGCTAATATAAAAAATTATATTTTTTTGATATTCATTATATTATATTTGATTTGATATTCATTATCTTGTCTAGACGATAACTTTAGTTTTCGCCGGTCATTGAACGTGTTAACAAATACGAGAACATAGACGGAAAAAATTCGAATCGCAAAAAGAAAATATGTTGCTGGAAATAATTATAGGACTTTTGTCCTTGTTCATAATTGTCGATGTTCTATATAAACAGCGCAGACATTTTATGATCGAAAAGGCTGGTATTCGTGGACCAACTCCATTGCCAATTTTGGGAAATGTGCTGTATCTGGTGGGCAATACAACAGCCAGTAAGAAATTAACAGAAGTGCACATAATGGGACTATTTTTGAATCATTTTTATTTATTTATTTTTTTCCATTCAAGGTGTGTCCGAACTTATGACCAAGCTAACTGACAAATATGGTAAAGTTGTACGCATGTGGTTTATTACTGATTGTGTCCTGATTATACTTGATGCTAAATATTTTGAAGATATTTTCAAAAGTCAACAGCTGATAAAGAAAAATGATTCGTATAATTTATTGGATGGTTGGTTGGGCCAGGGTTTATTGCTGAGTTCAGGTCCCAAATGGTTTTCGCGGAGGAAAATTATTACACCCACATTTCATTTTAAAATTTTGGAAGAATTCGTGGAGATCTTCGATCAACAAAGTCATGTTATGGTTAAGAATTTGATGAAGCAAGCTGATGGTAAAACAGTGGTCCATATGTTCCCCAATGTATGTTTGATGGCATTGGATATTATTACGGAAACGGCAATGGGTGTGAAGGTTAATGCCCAAGAGCATCCCGAATTTCCATATGCCAAGGCGGTGACAGAGTAAGTTATATTTCTTCTTATTATTTTTATTTTGTTCTGTAAAAGTAGAGAATGCCTCGTTAACAATTTCGTAGGTTAACAATTTCACGGAATTCCGTTTATAGCACCCACCCAGGGAAAAATAATTTGCGGTAGGTCCCTCTATAGTCAAGCATAGATAAATATTTTATATAAGTCTTCTATAAAAAAGTAAGTTCTTCTACTGCCCCTTTATAAAAGAAGACCTATAGGTAGAAATTCTTCGAAAGATCTACTGCAATTAAAACCAGTGAGCGGAGCAGTATAGTCGGACGGGGCCGACCATATGATACCCTACACAACTGTAACTTTGTGTGGATGTTTATTCCAAGCCTGGGCAATATTTCGTGATATCTACACCCTGTTGCCGATTAGATGTCAACAGCACCTTTTCCTGACACTGACATATTTTCCCCAGTATTACTAATATTCTGTACAGTCCTTCTAATTACTTGTCCAGTTCCCTTCACCGTGGGTTGTGTTGTGATGTTTGACTTTCAATTGTGGCCTATACATCGACTCGAAAAAATACAACAAATTAAGTTTTCGGTCCACTTCATCCGAAATTCTTATCTGATCATTGCCGAAAATTATAGGCGTTGTCATTGACCACAACTGAAATCTCATGGAAAATTTCAAAGCAATCAGAGCTATATTTCCGACCTCTAGTGTGGTAATGGGTTACTAAATAATATATGAATACATTAGCACCTGTAAATATTTCAGTGTAGCTCCCACATCTGAGTACATAGGACCATATAATTGGTATCAATTTATGCTATGAACTTCCCGGGCCTTTGTTCTTCAGGGGTAAATATATACGCTATAGAATACAAATTTTGTAATTTTTCACAAAAAAGTTAGGGTCCATTTGACCAGCTAAATATTGGCCGATCTTTATCAAAACAGGCATGTTTATTCTTTGGCCCGATCCCCTTCTCCATGCAAAAATTCGCGGTTTTGGGCAATAATTGCGGCCCCTGGAGCGACCAGAAAAACCGACAAAAATAAAGTTTTTGGTCCATTTCATCCCCTAAATATTAACCGATCTTTTCCAAAAACAATAGGGGTCTTCATTGGCCAGAGCCCATCCTACATGCAAAATTTCGTGAAGATCGGCCCATAACTGTGGCCTGTATCGTGTTTACAAATTATAATGGACAGACGGACGGACGGCCACACATGTCTAGATCAACTCAGCTAGTCGAGATATGACGATCGGTATACATAAAGGTGGGTTTAGGACCAATATTTCGCGGCGTTACAAACTTTTGGGGCTGCACAAAGCTATCTGTGGGTATTCTAGGAATATATAGATGACCTTATATGGGATTTCTGTAAATGAAAGTCCTTATACAAGACCTACAAATGCTCTTCCACTGGCAGAAGACCTTCCTGGTCTGATATAGATAGAACGCGAATTTTAGAAATTAAAAATTATAAACTCGAAGCATATTTTTAGAGGTATATGCCATATATACCGATTTCTCATGTTTGGTGACCTGTAGAGAAATTTTGTTGTTGTTCGAAATTTAATAGGGAATATTTCTTCCATTGGCACCACTGTCCCGAAATGGAAGTTGTCCTCAAAATTTCATCTGATTTCTTAATAAACAAAATTTTCCAAAATATATTTCTTTTATAAACGGAATTATAGCAATATTGTATTGATATATATTATAGCTACCGATTTCTCGTATTCGGAGACTTCTTGTGAAATTTTACGTAGAATATTTTTCCTCCTAACACCCACTAACTACAAGGACTTTTATGGAGCCAAATTGGCCTAAAATTAAAAACGTCCAAAAATAAACTCAACTTAAATGACTATTTTTTATATATCTAAATTGATATAGAAATTTTATGAATATATATTAAACGCATCGATTTCGGTTAATCGGCGACCTATAGTGAATTATAATATATAATATTTTCCCCCCTTACAATCAACATCCTACATGGACATATTGTGGGCCAAATTATCCTGTCTATAAACATAACATCTTGTATAGGAATTCTATATATGGAAACCCTACTATAGGTCTTCTATGGATATCCGTCTTTAGAGGTGTTGTACAGAGAGCAATAACGCTACATTCTCTCTACAGGCTCTTTAAAAAACAACAATAATCTAACAAATAAAGAGCATTTGCTGGATCCAACCCAGATTGGTAAGCGAATATTCTCTGCAAACACTGTTATCAGCAAAACTATATCGACAACTGGTATCAGAGGTTATACGTCGACAATTCCCACCAACAGGGAGAAAGAGCTGTCAGATATGAGCTAATGTAAAAATAATTATAGTCAATAAAAATAATGTTCATAATAATTACGCCAGCCAAAATTATTATTTTAGTTTTCGCCGGTCATTGAAAGTGTTAAGAAATACGTGAAAATCGAATCGCAATAAGAAAATATGTTGCTGGAAATCATTATAGGACTTTTGTCCTTTCTCATAATTGTCGATGTCCTATACAAACAGCGACGACATTTTATGCTCGAAAAGGCCGGTATTCGGGGACCAACTCCTTTGCCAATTTTGGGAAATGTTCTGTATCTAGTGGGCAATTCAACAGCCAGTAAGAATTTAAATCCGGAAATCCCTATTAAGGAAACATTTTTTTGAGTCACTTTTCACTTTTTTATTTAAAATTTAGGCGTGTCAGAACTTATGGCCAAGTTAACTGGCAAATATGGCAAAATTGTACGCATGTGGTTGGTTACCCATTGTGTTCTGTTCATACGCGATGTCAAATTTTTTGAAGATATTTTCAAAAGTCAACAAGTGATTACCAAAAATAATCTCTATAATTTATTGGATGGCTGGTTGGGCCAGGGTCTGCTACTGAGTTCAGGGCCCAAATGGTTTTCGCGAAGGAAAATTATTACACCCACTTTCCACTTTAAAATTTTGGAAAAATTTGTAGAGATTTTCGATCAACAAAGTCATGTTATGGCCAAGAATTTGATGAAGCAAGCTGATGGTAAGACGGTGATCCATATGTTCCCCAATGTATGTTTGATGGCATTGGATATTATTACGGAAACGGCAATGGGTGTGAAGGTTAATGCTCAAGAACATCCCGAATTTCCCTATGCCAAGGCGGTGACAGAGTAAGTTTGCGTTTGTAATATTTCTTCTATTTAGAAAACAATATTATTGGGCTTTTAGAATTAGAAGGCCGTTCAGAGTTCTTTTTTTTTAAATCTTCTATTCACGGAAGAAATTCTATATAGAAGACTCGCAGGGATAAATAATCTACAAGTGGTCCTTCAGGAATAAAAAAATAAAGGTCTTGTATATATAAAAGATCTTGTAGAGTTCTTCTATGGATAGAATGTTTTCTAGAAGTCTTCTATAAATAGAAGTCCGACTATAGACGTCCATAGATAAATATCTTATATCAGTCTTCCATTAAATTAAGATCTTCTACTGACCTTCAATAAAAGAAACCCTTCTATAGGTAGAAATTCTTCTGAAGATCTACTGCATTAAAAAAAAAACCTATACCATTTGAAAAAATCCTGTAGGTATTCTATGAATAATAGATCTCCTACAAAAACAGAACCTTATATGGGGTCTCTGTAAATGGAAGTCTTCACGTAGGTCTTCTAGAGATACAAATCCTAATAATCTTTTTTTCACAGAATGAAGATATTCTATAGTTCTGTAATAGATGGAAGGCGAATTATAAAATTAATAATTTATTTATGCATTAAAATTAGAAAGAACTATTTGGGATATTTATATTATATCTACCGATTTCTTCGATTCGGTGACCTATATTGAAATTTTATGGAAAATATTTTCGCCCTTGATACCAACACTATAGAAAAAATTGTAGTGTCTCAAAATGTGCCTCCAATAAAAAAACGTCGAAAAATAACCCATAATTAAAAGTGCGTTTTATATATCAAATTGAGGTAAAAATTTTGTGTGTATGTATTATACCTACCGATTTTTGATTATACCTACCGATTTTAGATGTTCGGTAACCTATAGTGAAATTTGCTGGAGAATATTTATTCCATTAGGGCCACTATCCTAAAAGGAAGTTATCTGCAAAATATCGACCAATTTTGAATTGAACAAAAATTAGCCAAAATTTATATACATTTTGCTCGAAATTATAACATTATTTTATTGTTATATATTATAGCTACCAATTTTCCATGTTTCGAAATCTATAGTGAAATTGTCTGCAGAATATTTTACTCTTTGACATCCACATCCTACAAGGACTGTTTGTGGGCGAAACTGGTCTACAAATAAAAACATCTAAAAATATCCCTAAAATCAATGACTATTTTTATATGTCCACATTTGTATAGATCTATTGTGTATATATACTATACCTACAGATTTCTGTTGTTCGATGACCTATAGTGAAATTTGATGCAGAATATTTTTCACCTTTACATTGACGCTCTACAATAACTTATTGTGGGTCAAATTGGCGTACAATTAAAAACATTCAAAAATAATCCAAAAATCAAATAACTATATTTTATGCCCACATTGATATATATATTTTCGGTATATATATTACACCTATCGATTTCGTTTGTATGCAAAACTAATATGAAATTTTCTGTAGAATATTTTTCACATTGACACTAATATCCTACAAGGATCTCTTATTGGCGAAATTGGCACATAATTTAAAAGGTACAAAAATACCTCAACATGAAAAGACTTTTTTTATAAACCCAAATTGCTATAGTTATTTTGGGTATATATATTATAACTACCGATTTCTGTTGTTCGGTGACCTATAGTAAAATTTGATGGAGAATATTTTTCCCCTTGACACCAACCCCCTACAAGAACATAGTGTTACCAAAATTGGCCTTCAATTCAAAAAGTACCAAAAATAACCTAAAAAAATAAAATAATTTTATGTTATGCCCACATTGATATAGATATTTTTGGTATATATATTACACCTACCGATTTCGTTTCTATGGTTACCTATTATGAAATGTTCGGTAGAATATTTTTTTAATTGACACTAATATCCTACAAGGTCCTTTTTTGGCGAAATCGGCCTATAATTAAAAAGGTCCAAAAATACCTCAGCATGAAATTACGATTTTTATATACTCAAACTGCTTTACATATTTTTGGGTATATATATTATACCTACCGATTTCTGTTGTTCGGTGACCTATAGTTAATTGTGGTGGAGAATATTTTTTTCCCTGACACCAACCTCATACAGGGACTTGTTGGGGGCAAAATTGGCCTACAATTAAAATCGTTGAAAAATAACCCAAAAATCAAACGACTATATTTTATGCCCATATTGCTATAGATAATTTTGGTATATATATTACACCTACCGATTTCGTTTCTATGGTTATCTATTATGAAATTTTCTGTAGAATATTTTTTACACTGACACTAATACCCTACAAGGTCCTTTTGTGGGCGAAATCGGCCTATAATTAAAAATATCCAAAAATACCTCAACATGAAATGACTACTTTTATATACACAAATTGCTATATATATATTATACCTACATATTTCTGTTGTTCGGTGACCCATAGTGAAATTTGATGAAGAATATTTTTCCCCTTGACACCAAGCCCCTATATGGACTTATTTTGGACAAACTTGGCCGTTCAAAAATATACCCAAAAATCAAAATATTTGTATATATTCACATTGATACATATTTTTTCTATATATATATATATATATTATAACTACCGATTTCTGTTGTTCGGTGACCTATAGTGAAATTTTATGTCGAATATTTCTTTCATTGACATCACTCTCCTAAAATGAAGCTATCTGCAAAATATCGACCACATTCTTAAAGGAACAAGAAAAAAACCCAAAATTTATATATTTTTTTGCATTCGAAATTATAACGATATTTAATTGATATACATTATAGATACCGATTTTTTTACTCAGAGGCCCATAATGAAATTTCCTGTAGAATATTTTTCTCCTTGACACCAACCCCCTACCTGGACTTATTGTGGACGAAATGGGCTTACAATTAAAAACGTCCAAAATCAAAGCTCAATATTAAATGACTTTTTTTATATAAGCAAATTAAATCGAAATATTTTGTATATATGCTATACCTACCGATTTATTATCTTCGGTAACCTATAGTGAAATTTAGTGTAGAATATTTCTTCTATTGGTGCCAATCTCCTTAAATAAAGCCATCTGAAAAATAACGCCCAAATTGTTAAATGAACCAAAATTCTTAAAAGTTGTTATTTTTATATTTGAAATTATAAAGAAAATTTTATTGATATATACTATAGCTACCGATTTTTATTACTCGGTAACCCATAATGAAATTTTATATAGAATATTTTTCTTCTTGACACCAACCCCCCTACAGGGATATTTAGTGGGCCAAAATTGGCTTGTATTTAAAAACGTTCAAAAATAACTCAATATTAAATAACTATTTGTATATATCCCATAATGATACACACATTTCGAGTATATATATTATATCTACCGATTTTTGTTGTTCGGTGACCTATAGTGAAATGTCATTCCGAATATTTCTTCCATTGGCTGTACACCTCTAAATTGAAGCCATCTAGAAATTTTCAATCAATTTTTAATTTGTATTTATTTATTTATTTTTTTTTTTAATTTTTGTAAGAGCGAGTTTTCCCCATATATTATTTTTAATATTAAAAAAAAAAATTCGCCGTAACATAATTCAAAATTTTTTTCAACCTTTTTTTGATTCTGTTATCACTTTTGTGTCTTCTACCAAAAAGCTAACTATGTGGCCCCCTTATCGCCAAAAACACAACTATGTCTTATGATAGTATCAAAGGTTAGCCTAGACATCGCCAAAAATCAGAGAGTATGACAGACAGAAAAATGAGATAAGACTAACAACAACAATTTTGTAAATAATATTGTTTACAATCATCAGTATTAAAAAAATTTAAATAAAATCGCAAATTTAGTTCATACAGAATATTCAAAGTGTTAGGAAGGGGAAAACTATAAAATTTTAGAAAAAAGTACTCCCCAAAAAATGTTATTCGAAATTCTTTGGGGTCTTTTGACCATTCTACTAATAGCCGATACTCTCTACAAAAGACGTCGCCATCTGATGATCGAAAAGGCGGGAATACGTGGCCCCACACCATTACCCCTGGTGGGAAATCTTTTGGAATTAGTGGGCAATACCACGGCCAGTAAGACATGAGAAACAACCATTTAACGAAAAATCTCACTTGCTCATTTGTCCGCCTCCATCCATCCCTTTAGGCAATGCCGATTTAATGCAACAATTAACCACAAAATATGGTAAAGTGGTACGCATGTGGCTGGGCAATCAATGTGCCCTGCTCATACGTGATGTCAACTATTTCGAAGATATTTTCAAAAGTCAACAGCTGATTACCAAGAATGATCTCTACAATTTATTAAGTGGTTGGTTGGGTCAGGGTCTGCTACTGAGTTCAGGGCCCAAATGGTTTTCGCGCAGAAAAATTATTACACCCACATTTCATTTTAAAATTTTGGAAGAATTTGTGGAGATTTTCGATCAACAAAGTCATGTTATGGCCAAATGTCTGATGAAGGAAGCTGATGGTAAGACGGTGCTTAACATGTTTCCCAAAGTTTGTCTAATGGCCTTGGATATTATAACGGAAACGGCAATGGGTGTGCGAGTGAATGCTCAAGAGCACCCTGAATTCGCCTATGCCAAGGCAGTAACTGAGTAAGTTTTCCAGATGTTGATACAATGTACTTGACAGCAGTGAGGCCTTAATTGTTGAGGACATCATTTATTTATCGCTGTTAATCAATTATGATAAGGTCTTAGTTTCTTAAGTACACCTGGCTATAAAAATGTATTCTTCGGATTTTGGACAATATTCATTCAATGTTGTTTTCATGTGCGAAAACTTCGACACGCGACCTCTTCAAGTTTATGGAATCAAGATAGGAGGTATTTTATAGATAGATGATTTGTAGAAAATTTTTAAAAATAAAAAAACATTTGGAGTACATTTATGGGCGTATATACTATATATAGCAATTTATATTGTTCGGTGACCTATAGTAAAATTTTATGAAAAATATTTTTAGCCTTGGCAACAAACCACCAAATGTACCTTATACGGACCCAAATAGCCCACAATTCAAAATTATTGAAAAATGACGTCCACATTGTTATAGATATTTTGTGTACATATATTATACCTACCGATATAAGTAGTTCGGTGACCTATGGTGAAATTTTATGTAGAAAAAAATTTTCATTGACACGAAACTCCCATAAGGACCTTTTGTGGTTCAAATTTACCTAAATTAAAAATGCCGAAAAATAATCCAACATTAAAAGGAATATTTTTATATATCAAAAATTGCTATGGGTATTTTATGTATATATATCATACCTATAATTATCCTTTGTCCGGTGACCTGTAGTGAAATTGTATGTAGAATTTTTTTCTCATTAACACCAACTCTCTATGAGGACTTCTGTTGGTTCTAATTTACCTACAATAAAAAATGCCGAAAAATAACCTAACATTAAAGGAATATTTTTATATATCAAAAATTGCTATGGATATTTTATATATATAAATTATACTTATCATTTTCTATACTTCGGTGACCTCTAGTGAAATTTGATGTAGAATATATTCCACATTAACACCAACTTCCTACAAGGACATCGTGTGCTCCAAACTGGCCTATAATTAAAAATGCCCAAAAAATAACCCAACATATAAGAATATATATATATATATATATATATATTAAACCTACAATTTTCTCTTGTTCGATGACCTATAGTGGAATTTGATGCAGAATATTTTCCACATTAACACCAACTTCCTACAAGGACATCGTGTGCGCCAAACTGGCCTATAATTAAAAATGCCCAAAAAATACCCAACATTTAAGAATATTTTATATATCAAAATTTATATTGATATATTGTGTATATATATTATACCTACAATTTTCTCTTGTTCGGTGACCTATAGTGAAATTTTATGTAGAATATTTCTTCCATTAGTACCACACTTCTAATATGAAGATATCTGGAAAATATCGACAAAATCTTAAATTTACAAAAATCTACCAAAATCATTAATTTCGTATATAAAATTCGAAATTATAACAATATTTTATTGCTATATAATGAAGCTATCGAATTTTCGTATTCGAAGACCTGTAGAATATTTTCCCTCTTCACATCAATACCCTACAAAGACTTATTGTAAGCAAAATTGGCCTATAATCAAAAACGTCCAAAATTTACCCAAAATAAAAATAATTTTTTAAATACAGATATTTTATTATATATATATATATATATTATATCTACCGATATTAGTTGTTCGGTGACCCATAGTGAAATTGGATATAGAATATTTTTCTCATTGACACCAACCCCGTATAAGAACATATTGTGGGCCAAATTGGCCTATAACTAAAAATGCCCAAAAATAACCCAACATTTAAGAATATTTTATATATCAAAATTGTTATGGATATTTTGTGAGTATATTTTATATATATCGTTTTCTCTTGTTCGGCATCCTATAGTGAAATTTAATGCAGAATATTTCTTTCACTAGAACCACTCCTCTAAAATGAAGACATGTGGAAAATATCGTCCAATTCTTAAGTGAACAAAAAATGTTCAAAAACATGAATTTTTTTGCATTCGAAATTATAACAATTTTAACTGATATATACTATAGCCAACGATTTCTCGTAGTCGAAGACCTATAATGGAATTTTCCATAGAATATTTTCCCCCCTTGACACCAACCCCTTACAGGAACATATTGTGGGTTAATTTGGCCTATTTTTTAAAACGCCCAAACATAACCCAAAATAAAATAACTTTTTTATATTTCCAAATTAATATAGATATTATGTGTATATATATTATAGCTACCGATTTCAGTTGTTCGGTAAGCCATAGTAAAATTTGATATAGAATATTTTTCTCATTGATACCAACCCCCTACAGGGTGCTCTTGTGGGTCAAATTGACCAAAAATTAAAAATGTCCAAAAATTAACACAAATAAAATTACTTCTTTTAGATATTCAAATTAATACCGATATTTAGTGTATATATATTAAACCTACCGATTTCAGTTATTCGGTGACCTATAGTGGAATTTCCTGTAGAATATTTTTCTCATTGATACCAACCCCCTACAGGGTGTTCTTGTGGGTCAAATTGGCCAAATATCAAAAATGTCCAAAAATTACCACAAATAAAATTACTTCTTTTAGATATTCAAATTAATACCGATATTTAGTGTATATATATTAAACCTACCGATTTCAGTTATTCGGTGACCTATAGTGGAATTTTCTGTAGAATAATTTTCTCATTGGCACCAACCCCCTACCAGGTCTTCTTGTGTCTCAAATTGACTTACAATAAAAACCGTCCCAAAAATTCAACCAAAATCAAATATGTATTTTTATATATCCAAAATAATATAGATATTTTAGGTATATATATTATAGCTACCGATTTCGATCATTCGGTAACCTAAAGTGAAATTTTATGTCGAACAATTCTTCCATTGGTACTTCTCACCTAAAATGAAGCAATCTTGAAAATATTGTCAATAATGTAGAAACTTTTCGATTTTATATCTATGGTCTGCTCCATATCTGTTTCTGTTCCAAAGATTTTATACCCTGTAGGTCCTAAAAATCGAAGAAAACTCCAATTTTACTAAAAACTAGGAATGGGTTCCGAACAGGCAACCAAACACCTCAAAGTTTTTTCTAAGATCTTCTATAGTTAGAATAATGTTTAATGACCTCTAAATGACCTTTTTATGTGGTCTCTTCTATATACATCTTAGGGGTTTACATTCAGAAGACACTTTTGATGTCCTCAGTTGGCAGAAGACCTATTAAGAGGTTTTTTAGGGTCTTTTGAGTTAAAATTTTGTTGAATGCCCTTATAAGAAAAAACAAAAATTTCTATACTCGGACTATCTCTGAAATTTGAAGACTTTCAATTGACTTTTACGGAAGATCTTCCATATACAACATATTGATTGATAGCTTGTCATAGAATAGGTCAGGTCTTCGTCATGGAAGAGCTGTGAAGTCATTTTTCTTCATAGAAAAAGCTGTGACGGTCTTCATCTTCATAGAAGAGCTGAAGGCCTTCTTCTTCGAAAACTATCAGTCCCTATAATGTATTCTCTTAAACCTCCTTTTAATATTTATTTCATTTCCTTTTATTTTTTCAGTACCTCCAACATAATGTCAGATCGTTTTATGAAACCCTTCGATCGTTTCGATGGCTATTTCCGTATCTTCCACAATGAAAAATATCGCCACTTGCAGAATTGTATAAAAATTATGCATGAATTCACGGATAAGGTTATCGCGGAACGTCGTGATGCTTTGCAGAAATCAATTGAAAATGGAACCTATCAGGCGGGTAGTAATACCGATGAAATGGGTATTAAAAAGCGAATGGCATTCCTCGATGTACTGCTGCAATCGACAGTAGGTGGTAAACCCCTCTCGAATATGGATATTCGTGAAGAAGTTGACACATTTATGTTTGAGGGTCATGACACCACGACTAGTGGTATATGTTTTACATTGTATCTGCTATCGCGTCATCCTGAGGTACAACAAAAGGTGCTTGAAGAAATCCACTCGGTCATTGGGGAGGATAAGGACAAGCCAGTGACAATGAAGGATCTGCAGGATCTCAAATATTTGGATTGTGTGATTAAGGAGAGTTTGCGTTTATATCCACCAGTACCAATGATTGGTCGTGTCACCGAACAGGATAGTGTGATAAGTAAGTTCGGGATGGATATATTAAAAATAAAATTTTGCTAATTTGAAATATTTTTTTTCCTTTTAGATGGTGTTACCATACCCGCCAAAACCAACATCACTTTGCTGATGTATGCTGCCATGCGTGATCCCGACTATTTCCATCACCCTGATGATTTCTTGCCCGAACGTTTCCAGAACATTGAGGATGCAAATAAAATCAATCCTTTCGCCTATGTTCCATTTAGTGCGGGTCCACGTAACTGTATTGGCCAGAAATTTGCCACAGCCGAAATGAAAAGTACCATCAGTAAAATGGTTCGTTATTTTGAACTACTACCATTGGGTGAGGAGGCCAAGCCTGTCATGAATATTGTATTACGTTCAGAGACTGATGTACAGTTGGGTTTGAGACCCCGCAAGTAGGAAGGAAAAGGAGGAGAATGATAAATATTTTGAGTGGTTTTTGTTATTGTTTATTTTGTAAGATAATAAAATATTTTTTTACTGAAAATTTAAAGAAGGCATTTTAAAATCTGAAACCTTACCCCGAAAAAAAATCTTCAAAATGTAAGAAGCCAGAAAAAATTAACAAAAATTTTACGCCATGTAAGGGAGCCAAAAACAATATTCTTGAAGGAATCCACGCCTTAGAGTAGACCCTGAAAATTATTCTTGAAGGAATCCACGCCTTAGAGTAGACCCTGAAAAATATTCTTGAAGAAATACACGCCTTAGGATGGAGCCTGAAAAATATTCTTTAAAAATCCACGTCTTAGGATGGAGCCTGAAAAATATTCTTTAAAAATCCACGTCTTAGGATGGAGCCTGAAAAATATTCTTTAAAAAATCTACGCCTTAGGATGGACCCTGAAAAAATGTTCTTTATAAAATCCACGCCCTAGGATGCCCTGTGAAAAATATTCTTTAAAAAAATCCACGCCTTAGGATGTCCTGTGAAAAATATTCTTTAAAAAAATCCACGCCCTAGGATGCCCTGTGAAAAATATTCTTTAAAAAAATCCACGCCTTAGGATGGACTCTGAAAAATATTCTTTAAAAATTCCACGCCTTAGGATGGACTCTGAAAAATATTCTTTAAAAATTCCACGCCTTAGGATGGACTCTGAAAAATATTCTTTAAAAATCCACGCCTTAGGATGGACTCTGAAAAATATTCTTTAAAAATCCACGCCTTAGGATGGACTCTGAAAAATATTCTTTAAAAATCCACGCCTTAGGATGGACTCTGAAAAATATTCTTTAAAAATTCCACGCCTTAGGATGGACTCTGAAAAATATTCTTAAAAATTCCAAGCCCTAGGATGCCCTGTGAAAAATATTCTTTAAAAAAATCCACGCCTTAGGATGCCCTGTGAAAAATATTCTTTAAAAAAATCCACGCCCTAGGATGCCCTGTGAAAAATATTCTTTAAAAAAATCCACGCCTTAGGATGGACTCTGAAAAATATTCTTAAAAATTCCACGCCCTAGGATGCCCTGTGAAAAATATTCTTTAAAAATCCACGCCTTAGGATGGACTCTGAAAAATATTCTTTAAAAATCCACGCCTTAGGATGAACTCTGAAAAATATTCTTTAAAAATCCACGCCTTAAGATGAACTCTGAAAAATATTCTTTACGCCTTAGGATGGACTCTGAAAAATATTCTTTAAAAATCCACGCCTTAGGATGGACTCTGAAAAATATTCTTTAAAAATCCACGCCTTAGGATGGACTCTGAAAAATATTCTTTAAAAATCCACGCCTTAGGATGGACTCTGAAAAATATTCTTTAAAAATCCACGCCTTAGGATGAACTCTGAAAAATATTCTTTAAAAATCCACGCCTTAGGAGGGACTCTGAAAAATATTCGTTAAAAATCCAAGCCTTAGGATGGGCTCTCAAAAATATTCTTGAAGAAATCCAGGCCTTGGAATAGACCCTAAAAATATTCTTTAAAAAATCCACGCCTTCGGATGGAACCTGAAATATATTCTTTAAAAATCCACGCCTTAGGATGGACTCTGAAATATATTCTTTAAAAATCCACGCCTTAGGATGGACTCTGAAAAATATTCTTTAAAAATCCACGCCTTAGGATGGACCCTGAAAAAATATTCTTCAACAAATCCACGTCTTGTAAGGGTCCCTGAAAAATATTCTTTAAAAAATCCACGCCTTAGGATGGATCCAGAAAAATATTCTTTAAAAAATCCACGCCTTAGGATGGACCCTGAAAAAATATTCTTCAACAAATCCACGTCTTGTAAGGGTCCCTGAAAAATATTCTTTAAAAAATCCACGCCTTAGGATGGATCCAGAAAAATATTCTTTAAAAAATCCACGCCTTAGGATGGATCCAGAAAAATATTCTTTAAAAAATCCACGCCTTAGGATGGAGCCAGAAAAATATTCTTTAAAAAATCCACGCCTTAGGATGGAGCCTGAAAAATATTCTTTAAAAAATCCACGCCTTAGGATGGAGCCAGAAAAATATTCTTTAAAAAATCCACGCCTTAGGATGGAGCCTGAAAAATATTCTTTAAAAAATCCACGCCTTAGGATGGAGCCAGAAAAATATTCTTTAAAAAATCCACGCCTTAGGATGGAGCCTGAAAAATATTCTTTTAAAAATCCACGACTGAAAAATATTCTTTAAAAAATCCACGCCTTAGAATGGACCCTGAAAAATATTCTTTAAAAAATCCACGCCTTAGAATGGACCCTGAAAAATATTCTTTAAAAAAAATCCACATCTTAGGATGGGACTTGAAAATTGTCTTTAAAAAGTCCATGCCTTAGGATAGACCCAAGCCTCTCTATAGTTCCTCGATAAAAATATTCCTTAAAAAATCTACACCTCTATATGTCTTCGAAAAAAATATTCATTACAAAATCCAAGCTTTATATGGTTCTTGGGGAACTATTTTTAAAAAAGAAAATCCACGCCTTATCTAGGTCCATGAAAAACTATTTAAAAAAATCCAAAACTTATGTGGGTCCTTGAAAAAATATTTTTAAATTTTAAACATATTTAAAAAAATGGTATTTATATTATTTTGAAACATTCTTTTATTTTAAAAATCTACGTCTGTGAGTTCGAACCTAATATGTTTAAATTCTTATAGTTTACTTTTAGGCTTTAAAGAATAGAAATTTGGAATGAATAGTCAGCATGATGTGGTCAGCATTAGAATAGTCAGCGTGACATGTTATATTTTCTACTGTTTCCGATTTTTAGAGATAAGCTTTAGCAATGTGCGGGACTGATAAACAAAAACAAAAAAATGCGATATGTTTCTCTTCGCAGTTTATAGATAAATAAAAAAATTTAACCAATTTATTATATTGGACCTAGTCGATTAATGTATACTCTCTAAGTGGTTCTGAAAATTCAATATATAAATTTGTAATTATATGGGCCGAAAGATAAGTCACTAAATTTTAACCACAGTCCAATTCAAAAAAATCATAGATATGGAGATTTGTGTGTAGAACTCCTCACCTCAAGTCTATGGTGAGGAGGTAAACAAACCTGTTAAAGAGAACAGTTCTAAATCTCTATGCACATTTTTGAAATCAAAGTGATATCAGAGAGAGGAATACAAATCTGAAAGTGTGTGTCAAGATAAGGTCTAACAACTAAAATATAGTTAACAATATTAAATATGCTTTTGGCCAATTTTAGTACCCGTGGTCTATTGGAAGTGGTAGCAACAGCAACAGCAATCGGAAATAATATTTTGTCTTTATTTGGCACAAACATAATGTGGATTGAAATGCTTGTGGGACTTTTGTCCCTTCTCATACTTGCGGATACGCTCTACAAACGGCGACGTCATATTATGATTGAAAAGGCTGGTATTCGAGGACCAACTCCATTGCCGATTTTGGGAAATGTTTTGGAATTTGTGGGCAATACCACAGCCAGTAAGAGATTACCAGAAAACCCTAAGCATATTTTTTTAATTACGATTTTTTTCTCATTTGCAGATTTTTCTACATTAATGGACAATCTGACCGCCAAATATGGTAAAATTATACGCATGTGGATGGTTAACCATTGTGTTCTGTTCGTACGCGATGTCAAATATTTTGAAGATATTTTCAAAAGTCAACAGCTGATTACCAAGAATAATCTCTACACGTTGTTAAGTGGTTGGTTGGGTCAGGGTCTGCTGCTGAGTTCTGGACCCAAATGGTTTTCACGCAGAAAGATAATTACACCCACCTTTCATTTTAAAATTTTGGAAGAATTTGTAGAGGTGTTCGATCAACAAAGTAATGTAATGGTTAAGAATTTAATGAAGGAAGCTGATGGCAAAACTGTGATCCGTATGTTCCCAAAAGTTTGTCTAACCGCATTGGATATTATTACGGAAACGGCAATGGGTGTGAAGGTTAATGCTCAAGAACATCCTGAATTTCCCTATGCCAAGGCGGTGACAGAGTAAGTTTTGCAAAATATTGATACAATGTGTGTGAAAGAAATGAGGAATTGATTGTTAAAGACGTCATTTCTTTATCGCTTTATTTTGGAAATGTTCAGGGTTCAAGTACAAACAAACCTACAATACAAACCTTTATTCTTCGGATTTGGTAACAATATTCAATATTGTTTTCATTAGGCCAAAAATTCGATAAGCGACCTCTTTCAAGTTGGTAGACACAAGATAGGAAGTATTCTATAGATAGATGACTTGTAGAAAAACATTGAAAATAACAAAAAATGGGAGTGTATATATTGGCATATATATTATATATAGCAAATTCTATTGTTAGGTGACCTATAGTAAAATATTATGTAGAAAAAATTTCCCCTTGATACTAACCACCCAAGCGAACTTGTTATGGACGAAATTGGCCTACAATTGAAATCACTGAAAAATGACATAATAAAAATATATTTACTATTTTTGTATGTCCACATTGTTATAGATATTTTGTGTATATATATCACACCTATCGATTTAAGTTGTTCGGAGACCTATAGTGAAATTTAGGGTAGAATATTTTTTTCACTTACACCAACCGCCTATAAGCACTTCTTAATGTTCAAATTTAACCTACAATTTAAAATGCCGACAAATTATCCAAAGTTAAAGGAATAATTTTAATTATCAAAATTGCTATGGATATTTTATGTATATAAAGTATGCCTATCACGTTCTCTATTTCGGTGACCTATAGTGAAATTTAACGTAGAATATTTTTCTCATTGACACCAACCCCATATAGGGACCTTTTGTGGCTTAAATTGGCTCACAGTTAAAAATTCCGAAAAATAACCTAAAATATTATATGAAGGAATAATTTTATACATAGAAATTGTTATGGATATTTTGTGTATATATATTATACCTATAAATTTCTCTACTTCGGTGACCTATAGTGAAATTTAATGTAAAATATTTTTTTCACTAATACCAACCTCCCATCAGGACTTCTTGTGGGTCAAATTGGCTCACAATTAAAAATCCCGAAAAATAACTCAAAATTGAAGGAATTTTTTTATATATCAAAATTGATATGGAAATTTTGTGTATATAAAGTATGCTATAATTTTCTCTATTCGGTGGACTATAGTGAAATTTAATATAGAATATTTTTGTCATTGAGACAAACCCACTATAAGGACTTCTTGTGGGTCATATTGGCTCACAATTAAAAATTCCGAAAAATAACCCAAAATTGAAATATTTGTATATATCAAGATTGATATGGATATTTTGTGTGTATATATTATACCAATCGTGTTCTCTTGTTCGGTGACCTATAATGAAATTTAATGTAGAATATTTTTTCCATTTGAACTACTCCTCCAAAATGAAGACATCTGGAAAATATCGACCAAATCTTAAATTAACAAAAAAGGCCCAAAATCAATCATTTTTACATATGATTGATTTTGGTATTATATTGATATTATATATTGAAATTATATCAATATTTTAATTGATATATAATATAGCTATCGATTTCTCGAATTCGAGAAGCTATAGTGGAATTTTCTGTAGAGTAATTTTCCCCTTGACCCCAACGCCCTATATGGACATATAGTAAGAAAAATTGGCTTACAAATAAAACCCTTCCAAAATAAACCAAAATAAAATTATTTTTTTTTATTTATCGAAATTCATATAGACATTTTATGTATATATATATATATATATATATTATACGTACCGATTTATTTTCCTTGGTGACCCATAGTGGAATTTAATGTAGAATATTTTTCACCTTGACAACCATACCCTACAGGGTCTTCTTGTGGGATAAAATGACCTATAATTAAAAACGTCGAAAAATAACCGCAAATTAAAGGAATATTTTTATATATCAATATTGATAAGTATATTTCATGTATATAAATTATACCTATCATTTCCTGTTATTCGGTGACCTATAGTAAAATTTAATGTAGAATATTTCTTCCATAGACGCCAATTGCCTGAAACGAAGCTATCAACAAAATCTCGACCAATTCTTAAATGAACAAAAATTGCCCAAAATGTGTATATTTTATGTTCGAAATAATACCAATATTTTATTGGCATATAATATAGCTACCGATTTCTCGTATTCGAAGACCTATAATGGAATTTTCTGTAGAATATTTTGACCCTTGACAACAATTCCCTACAAGGACTTTTTGTAAGCAAAAGTGACCTATAATTAAAATCGTCCAAAAACAACCCAAAATAAAATTACTTTTTCATATCTCTAAAGTAATCCAGATATTAAGGGTATATATATCAAACCTAACGATTTCAATTATTCGGCAACCCATAGTTAAATTTCGTTTTTAATATTGCTCCCCTTTACACCATCCCCCTACAGGATCTTCTAATAGGTCAAATTGGCCAAACATTAAAAATACCCAAAAAATACCCAAAATAAAATGGATTTTTCCGATTACTCCAATTATTACAGGTATTTTTGGTATATAAATTATATATACCGATTTCGGTTATTCTGCAACCCATAATGAAATCTCCTGTAGAATATTACTCTCCTTGACAGTAATGCCTTACAGGGTGTTGGTGGGTGTGGTGGGTAAAAATGGCCAAAATTTAAAAATGTACAAAATGTACAAAAAAACCCAAAAAATGTACATTTTATATATTCAAATTACTAGAGATATTTAATGTATATATATATTAACCCTACTGATTTTAGTTATTCGGTGACCTATAGTGAAATTTTATGTAGAATATTTTTCTAATTGACATCAACCCCCTATAAGGACTTTTCATGGACCAAATTGGCCTAAAATAAAAACCATCCAAAAAATAAATCCAAAATCAATTTTTATTTTATGTATCCAAATTAATATGGAGATTTTGTGTATATAGGTTATAGCTACCGATTTCGATATTTCGTTAACCTAAGGTGAAATTTTATGTCGAACATTTCTTTCATTGGCACTACTACCCTAAAATGAAGCAATTTGGAAAATATTAGCCAGTCTATCACATAGAAACTTTTTATATTTATACCAATGGTTCTATATTACATTTTTTGTTCGAAGTATTATATAGCCAGTAGAACCTTACATAGCTCGTAAAAACTCGTAGAAACCCCAATGTTACTAAAAATTAGGAATGAGTTCCAAATACGCAACTAAACCCTTCAACATATTTCTAGGACCTTCTATAGTTAGAGTAATGTTTCAATGACCTCCAAATGACCTTTATATTGGATCTCTTCTATATATAAATATACTTCATAGGAGTTTACATTCGGAAGACAGTTTTGATGTCCTCAATTGGCAGACGACATATTGTGGTATATGGTATTTAGAGGTATTTTTGAGTTACACATTTTTGTATTGCCCTTATAAAAAAAAATCCATACCCATACCGTCTTTGAAATTTGAAGGCTTTCTATGGACTTTGAAGGGTGGAAGATCTTCTATATACAGGATATTGGTTGAGAGCTTGACATAGAATAGGCCCGGTCTACTTCGAAAAATATCTGTGAATATATTTTTCTTCATAAAAGATCTTTGAAGGTCTCCTTCTTCATAGAAGACTATCAGTCCTTAAAGAGGATTCTAATTTTGTTTAAATATTCCCTATAATAAATATTCTTCATTCTAAAATTTACTTTATTTCCTTTTATTTTTCTTCAGAACCTCCAACATAATGTCGGATCGTGTTGTGAGACCATTCGATCGTTTCGATGGCTTCTTCCGTATTTTCAATAATAAAACATATCGCCACTTGCAGAATTGTATAAAAATCATGCATGAATTCACGGATAAGGTAATCGAGGAACGTCGTGATGCTTTGCAGAAATCAATTGAAAATGGAACCTATCAGGCGGGTAGTAATACCGATGAAATGGGTATTAAGAAGCGAATGGCATTCCTTGATGTGTTGCTGCAATCGACAGTGGGTGGTAAACCACTCTCAAATATGGATATTCGTGAAGAAGTTGACACATTTATGTTTGAGGGTCATGATACGACGACCAGTGGTATTTGTTTTACTTTGTATCTGCTATCACGTCATCCTAAGGTCCAGCAGAAGGTGTTGGAAGAAATCCACACAGTCATAGGGGAGGATAAAGACAAGCCAGTGACAATGAAGGAGCTGCAAGATCTCAAGTATTTGGATTGTGTGATTAAGGAGAGTTTGCGTTTATATCCACCAGTACCAATGATTGGTCGTGTCACCGAACAGGATATTGTGATAAGTATGTTCGGATTGGGGACTTTTAAAACTAATTTTGCTAATTTGAAAAAAATTGTCTCTTAGATGGTGTTACCATTCCGGCAAAGACCAACATTACTTTGCTGATGTATGCCGCCATGCGTGATCCCGATTATTTCCATCACCCCGATGATTTCTTGCCCGAACGTTATCTGAATACCGAAGATGCAAATAAAATCAATCCATTCGCTTATGTTCCATTCAGTGCGGGACCACGTAACTGTATTGGCCAGAAATTTGCCATAGCAGAAATGAAAAGTACCATCAGTAAAATGGTTCGACATTTTGAATTACTACCATTGGGTGAGGAGGTCAAACTTGTTATGAATATAATATTGCGTTCGGAGACTGATGTGCAATTGGGTTTGAAACCCCGCAAGTAGGAAAGGGGAGAATGATAATTTTTTGAGTTGTTTTTTTTATTGTAGATTTTGTAAGATAATAAAATTTGATTTTCTTGTTATACTGAAAAATCAAAGAAGACATTTCAATACCCAAGGAAAATATGCTTTAAAAACGTCAAGGTCCGGTAAGGGACCCTATACACATTTTTTAAATCGATCCTTTGTAAGGGACCCTATTTTTTTAATTTCAAGATTTGGTCCAAAACAAAAGTATAAGAAATCCACTCCTTGAAGGGAACTCTAAAAATATTCTTTAAAAAATCCACGCCTTAGAAAGGATCCTGAAAAAATATTCTTTAAAAAATCCACGCCTTGTAATGGTCCCTAAAAAAATATTCTTTAAAAAATCCACGCCTTGTAAGGGTCCCTGAAAAAATATTCTTTAAAAAATCCACGCCCTGTAAGGGTCCCTGCAAAAATATTCTTTAAAAAATCCACGCCTTGTAAGGGTCCCTGAAAAAATATTCTTTAAAAAATCCACGCCTTGTAAGGGTCCCTGAAAAAATATTCTTTAAAAAATCCACGCCTTGTAAGGATCCCTGAAAAAATATTCTTTAAAAAATCCACGCCTTGTAAGGGTCCCTGAAAAAATATTCTTTAAAAAATCCACGCCTTGTAAGGGTCCCTGAAAAAATATTCTTTAAAAAATCCACGCCTTGTAAGGGTCCCTGAAAAAATATTCTTTAAAAAATCCACGCCTTGTAAGGGTCCCTGAAAAAATATTCTTTAAAAAATCCACGCCTTGTAAGGATCCCTGAAAAAATATTCTTTAAAAAATCCACGCCTTGTAAGGGTCCCTGAAAAAATATTCTTTAAAAAATCCACGCCTTGTAAGGGTCCCTGAAAAAATATTCTTTAAAAAATCCACGCCTTGTAAGGGTCCCTGAAAAAATATTCTTTAAAAAATCCACGCCTTGTAAGGGTCCCTGAAAAAATATTTTTTAAAAAATCCACGCCTTGTAAGGGTCCTTGAAAAAATATTCTTTAAAAAATCCACGCCTTGTAAGGGTCCTTGAAAAAATATTCTTTAAAAAATCCACGCCTTGTAAGGATCCCTGAAAAATATTCTTTAAAAAATCCACGCCTTGTAAGGGTCCCTGAAAAAATATTCTTTAAAAATCCACGCCTTGTAAGGGTCCCTGAAAAAATATTCTTTAAAAATCCACGCCTTGTAAGGGTCCCTGAAAAAATATTCTTTAAATAATCCACGCCACGAAAGGATCCGGAAAAAATATTCGTTAAAAAATTCACGCTTTAGAAAGGATCCTGAAAAAATATTCTTTAAAAAATCCACGCCTAAGAAAGGATACTGAAAAAATATTCTTTTAAATATTTCCACAATTTTGTGCCCTGCAGAATCTATCATCCTGACTGACAAGATATCTGTGTACATTTTCCAATTAGGAAAAAAATGGAAAAGCTGAGATTTCAGCATATTATTTTTGTTCGCCCTGCAGACAATAAGGAAATTACAAAAGCATTTCCTTTCTAAGAAAGTAGAATGAGAAAAATTAACGCCATATGAAGAAAGGAAGTGATTTGACTATTTTGGGCTCACGTGGCAGACACGTGAGTAGGAAATGTTCAAATATACAAAAAAAGAAACGACAAATGTCTTTTGGAAATATTTACAATATGCCAACATCCTCGTACATCAGAGTTTTATGCAAAGACACACACCACTCGCATATCCTTCCAAGATGCAGGGAGGAAGGGCGGCAGTTTGAAAAAATATTTTCTTAACAAATTACAAGAGAAACTCCTTTGACAAAATACAGCTGTTGCCAGGATTAACGCCTCAAATTTCCACTGGCAAGCGAGGAAAGATAAACCCGGCAGCGTATGCAAACATATGGCATTACAAAGCCCGCACACAAAAAACACACACTCTCTCTGTGTGTGTAGGGATATATGTGTGTGTGTTTGGATGGCTGCTGCTTGTGTGCATCAGAGCATTAAACAATTACAGCATCCTTTTAAGCCTATCAAATGTAAATCCTGTATCATCTACCTGAAATAATTCACCTATCAAATTTGTAATGGCAAATCGTATTGAGTGAATCCTTTGTGTGTTGAAAATTAATTTTGAAGATTTTCTTTATAATTTTCGTTTTTCACCTGTGTAATTATTAGCTGGAACATAATTCTGCGATGTTCAGCTTTTATCTATGGTAGTAATTTTCTAAAATGAAAGGACATCATGCTGAGATATTTTTTAGGGGTGGTATTTCCTTTCTTTCTTTTGAGACACCTTTCTTAGCCGCTCCGGTCGGCTCGTTTATGAATCACCGTCAATCATTTTAAATGGTCAACATGTTTACTTTCTTGATTGTCGAGATATCTCAAAACTCAATCACATTTCTAGCTGTTGTCCGAGCATTGCCTTGTCCTTTTCTAGTCTTAAGGTTTTCAGCGGACTTCTTCTTCTGTGCCATATTTTCGATGATAATGATTTCCAACTTTATGACAAATAGAGGCACAGTGGATTTTACTTTACTCGTGGATTTTTTTAAAGAATATTTTTCAGGCTCCATCCTAAGGCGTGGATTTTTTAAAGAATATTTTTCAGGGTCCTAAATAAGGCGTGGATTTTTTAAAGAATATTTTTCAGGCTCCATCCTAAGGCGTGGATTTTTTAAAGAATATTTTTCAGGCTCCATCCTAAGGCGTAGATTTTTTAAAGAATATTTTTCAGTCTCCATCCTAAGGCGTGGATTTTTTAAAGAATGTTTTTCAGGGTTCTAAATAAGGCGTGGATTTTTTAAAGAATGTTTTTCAGGGTCCTAAATAAGGCGTGGATTTTTTAAAGAATATTTTTCAGGGTCCATCCTAAGGCGTGGATTTTTTAAAGAATATTTTTCAGGGTCCATCCTAAGGCGTGGATTTTTTAAAGAATATTTTTCAGGGTCCATCCTAAGGCGTGGATTTTTTAAAAAATATTTTTCAGGGTCCATCCTAAGGCGTGGATTTTTTAAAGAATATTTTTCAGGGTCCATCCTAAGGCGTGGATTTTTTAAAGAATATTTTTCAGGGTCCATCCCAAGGCGTGGATTTTTTAAAGGATATTTTTTCAGGTTCCATCCCAAGGCGTGGATTTTTTAAAGGATATTTTTTCAGGTTCCATCCCAAGGCGTGGATTTTTTAAAGAATATTTTTCAGGGTCCATCCTAAGGCGTGGATTTTTTAAAGAATATTTTTCAGGATCCATCCTAAGGCGTGGATTTTTTAAAGATTATTTTTCAGGGTACATCCTAAGGCGTGGATTTTTTAAAGAATATTTTTCAGGGTCCATCCTAAGGCGTGAATTTCTTAAAGAATATTTTTCAGGGTCCATCCTAAGGCGTGAATTTCTTAAAGAATATTTTTCAGGGTCCATCCTAAGGCGTGGATTTTTTAAAGAATATTTTTCAGGGTCCATCCTAAGGCGTGGATTTGTTACACAATATTTTTCAGGGTCCATCCTAAGACGTGGATTTGTTACACAATATTTCTCAGTGTCCATCCCAAGGCGTAGATTTTTTAAAGGATATTTTTTCAGGTTCCATCCCAAGGCGTGGATTTTTTAAAGATTATTTTTCAGGGTACATCCTAAGGCGTGGATTTTTTAAAGAATATTTTTCAGGGTCCATCCTAAGGCGTGGATTTTTTAAAGATTATTTTTCAGGGTACATCCTAAGGCGTGGATTTTTTAAAGAATATTTTTCAGGGTCCATCCTAAGGCGTGAATTTCTTAAAGAATATTTTTCAGGGTCCATCCTAAGGCGTGAATTTCTTAAAGAATATTTTTCAGGGTCCATCCTAAGGCGTGGATTTTTTAAAGAATATTTTTCAGGGTCCATCCTAAGGCGTGGATTTGTTACACAATATTTTTCAGGGCCCATCCTAAGACGTGGATTTGTTACACAATATTTCTCAGTGTCCATCCCAAGGCGTAGATTTTTTAAAGGATATTTTTTCAGGTTCCATCCCAAGGCGTGGATTTTTTAAAGAATATTTTTCGGGGTCCATCCCAAGGCAGGGTCTCTGACAGGCGTAATTTTTTTAAAAAATAGTTTTTGGGTCCATCCCAAGGCAGGGTCTCTGACAGGCGTGGATTTTTTAAAAAATATTTTTTTGGGCCCATCCCAAGGCTGAGTCTCTGAAAATGCGTAGATTTTTCAAGAAATATTTTTTTGGGTCCATCCCAAGGCTGGGTCTCTGACAGGGGTAGATTTTTTAAAAAATATTTTTTGGGTCCATCCCAAAAAAAATAAAAAGTAAATACTCCGAAGGCAAAGTCTCTGACAGGCGTGGATTTTTAAAAAAAATATTTTTTTGGTCCATCCCAAGGCAGGGTCTCTGACAGGCGTGGATTTTTTAAAAAATATTGTTTGGGTCCATAACAAGGCAGGGTCTCTGACAGGCGTGGATTTAAAAAAAAATAAAAAATATTTTTTTGGGTTCATCCCAAGGCAAGGTCTCTGACAGGCGAGGATTAAAAAAAATTAAAAATATTTTTTTGGGTCCATCCCAAGGCAAGGACTCTGACAGGCGTGGATATAAAAAAAAATTAAAATATTTTTTTGGGATTTTTTAAAAAAACATTTTTTTGGGATTTTTTAAAAAAACATTTTTTTGGGTCCATCCCTAGGCAGGTTTCTGACAGGCGTGGATATAAAAAATTAAAATATTTTTTTGGGATTTTTTAAAAAATATTTTTTTGGGTCCATCCCAAGGCATGGTCTCTGACAGGCGTGGATTTTTTAACATATAATTTTCAGGGTCTTTGACAAGCGGAGATTTTTGGAAAAATATTTTTCAGGGTCTCTTAAAGGCATGGAATTTTTAAGAATATATTTTCAGCTCCTTATATCAATTTCAAGTCCTTGCAAATACTGTCCAAAAATTAACATACACCTCTCCATCTGTCATGTTCCTCGTAAATACTGCTCATAATCAACATTTGTTTTGCAAGGATGCTTTTGTAGATGAAATGCTAC